ATAAAAAAAAAAGTCTATTTGAGAGGGCAATAACAGGCAGTAAAGCCAAGCATGTACCTACTTTTTCCACAGAAGGAAAGGCATATCTCTTTGTTGAATAAGATTGCAAAGTCATTTTTTTTAATTATATCATTTTTACAGTTCTGTATATATTGTTTGTATAAAGATAAAATATTTATGTTTCCACATACACCACCTGGATATGTTTTGTGAGATGAGTGACATATAACAAAGAAAGAGCATTTTACATGGGATGTACTTATTTTTTCATATGACTGTATAGAAACCAAATGGTAATAATTTTTTTACTGGACAATTATTTCTTGCTGCAAAGACAATATGTGATATGTACTTTAAAAAAATAAACACCTGGTCATTACATATGCTTTTGATCCAGAACTTTTCAGATTAATGTAACACAAGACACTATTAATTTGATACCATAAATTGATTTTCCAGGCAACTTGGTAAAATATATTAAGAAAGCTTGGGATTTGAACATATGGAAAATATTTTGCTGAATAAAAAATAGGTCTATTTTTAACCTTTTGGAATTTTTTAAAATAACATCAGTGATCTGTGGATAAATGATATTGTTTATTTGGACTTGAGCAACATTCCTCCCCCAAAAATCTCTGTGTAAACGGACTATTGGAAGAATAGAGGCAGGTGTACAAATAGTTCTTGCTATGGATGGAAGGAATTAAACAGTGGGGTTGTGAAAGAGTTGGTATTGTATGCTGTGGCCTTTAAGGAGGAAGCTGAGAGGTGAATAAGTTCATAGAAAAATCAAAATATGAGTTGTGAAAACTTAAGTAGGCTATGAAGATCTGTAAAATAGTGTTTATGAATAGATTTAATGGCAGCAAAATAGCAAATGAGCAATTTTGTATGCTAGAACAAAGAATCCTGCGTAGCATAATTGTGTGTTTGTGTGGCTGCTATGGACAATAGAAATTTTGTGTTGAACATCATTAGAATAAAAATGCAAGTGAAACTGCTAGTTTATGAAGTATTCATATAAAAATATGGCACAGTTTTGATTGAAATATCAATTATTATTATTCTCAAAATGATTTTTATATAATTGTAACTAAAGAAACAATAAGAGTTCTATTAAAGCAGGTATGAGGCAGGAGGAGCTAGTTCTCTAAGGAGAAAGGTCATGTTTTGGATTTTTTTCAGTAGAAAAAGAAAGAAAAGGAGAAAGAAAGATACGGGTATGTATTCATTGGATAAAGAAAGAAGGTGGAGAACTTTCTTAAAGTAGCATTACTAGGGTATCCAGGTGGGGAGCTCTTCTTGGGTTTCAGGTTCTAGGCTTTCTCGAGGATAGCCGATGCCACTGAACAGGAGACCCTTTGACTAGACCAGAGGTGCCAAACTCGATTTCATTGAGGGCCACATCAGGGTTGTGTTTGACCTTGGGGAGGCTGGGGGGTTGTGTGGCCAGCTCAACGTCACTTGTGTTAGAGGCACCTGTGGTGGCCTGAGCGCTTTGCCAGTAAAAAACGGAGGTCGGGAGGGCTGCAGCCGGCCATCGCAGCCGAAAACGGAGCTCACGGCCCTCCCAAGCTCCATTTTCGCTGGCAGAGGCACTGTGGGACGGTCCTTCGCTGTTTCCAGGGCGGCCCTGCGGGCCAGATCTAAGCACCCCTCAGGCTGGATCTGGTCCACGGGCCTTATGTTTGACACCCCTGGATTAGATAGTCTTTGGTCTGATCCAGCTTTGTGGTTCTTGTTTTCTGATTGCTTTTCTTTGAATCCCGGATTAACTTCTCCACAAAACAAACTCATGTTTCTTCCATGTCACCTTGAAGCCCAACTCCCATGAGGTAAAGAGTCGTGAGTCTTAGTTTCGATATAATACATGTAGTTTTTGCTTAATTCTGGTTGTTTGGGACTGACATCTCCCTTGCTGAGTGCTGCAGACAAAGACCATAACGTCACATGAGTGCGCCAACCTATGGCAATTGCGGCAGTCCCAGTTGCCATTGTTAGGTGTTCTACAGTCACATGGTTGTCATTGATAACTTCCTGCCTACTTCCCCATTGACTCTGTCAAAGCCACCAGTGAATGTTACAAATAGCAGACATGTGACCGTGGGACGTTGTAATTGTGAGCTGGTTGCCAAGTATCTGACTCACAATACCATGACCCAGGGACACTGCAGTGGCCACAACTTTGAGGATCTGTTATCAAGTCCCCCTTATTCAGTCTTCGTCAGTGAGTGGTCGTTCACCGAGGACCACCTGTAGCATATAGCAATAGCATTTAGACTTACATAGCGCTTCATTGTCCTTTACTGCTCTCTCTCTCTCTCTCTGAGCATCTTTGTCCCTGTCAATCTGGGTCCTCATTTTATTAACCTCGGAAGGATGGAAGGCTGAGTTAACCTTGAACGGGTCAGGATCAAACTCCTGAGAGTCAGCAAAGTTAGCCTGCAATACTGCATTCAAACCACCGTCCCACCACAGCTCTAATAAACTGCATAGGATGAATGTGATCATTTTGTATCATACTAAACTGAATTTTTAAAAAACATTGTTACTTTGAGTGGCTGAAAGCAAATTCTGCAGGTCTGACCCTTAATATTCAAGGCCGTTATTTCTTCTCAGTTTTTTGTGTTTTATTTTGTTTCCCTTCTCAACAATTATGGCCTCCTCCTAAAATGTTTTGGGTGCATCTTCTTAGATTCCTCCTACCCATGCTTTGATTTTGCTGCTTGCAGACCTAATCCTCTTACTCCACCCTTTTCTTGGAGACCCATCTACCTGCCCTTTTAATCCATAACTTTGCAACTTCTGTTGCTTCCTCTGCTCTTTATTCAGGGAAGCTCTGAGTGCTGCTCTTGGAAGTCCGGTCTTCAGGCCGCCTGACTGTCATGGGTGTAAGCTCCCTCTGTCCTTCCCTGCAAGTCAAAACGACACAGAGTCCTCGACTTAATGTTCACAACTGAGCCCATAATTTCTGTTGATAAGTGAGACATTTGTTAAGGGAGCTTTGCCCCAATTTGCGACTTTTCTTGCCGTGGCTGTTAAGTGAATCTCTGCAACTGTTAAGTTAGTAACATGATTAAGTGAATCTGGCTTTCCCGTCTGGCTTCTCAGAAAGTCGCAAAGGAGGGAATCACAGAGCCTCTGGGCATTGCAACCGCCAAAAATATGAGTCAGTTGCCAAGTATCTGAATTGTGACCATGTGGCCTTGGAGATGCTGCAATGGTCATGTGAAAAATGGTCATAAGCAGTGCTGGCATTCTACCGGTTGCAAGGTGCGTTCTTGCATCGAACCGGTAGGAAAAAAAATTTGAAAGCCACCACTGGTCATAAGTCACTTTTTCAGTGCTATTGTAACTTTGAACAGTTGCTAAATGAGCTGTTGTAAGTCAAGGACTCCCTGTAATTGCAGTCTGGCAGTTGATTCCCTGTTTCTCTTGTTTGAAAGAATGGATGTGCTTGGATTCCTCATTTTTGTTCTGTGACACTTTTCTCCTCCAGTAAAAGCGGTTGCTTTTCTTTGAACTTTGTTTTTACTTTTAAGCATCTCTAGTGCCTCTTAGTCCACAATTAGCAGCCAAAAACTACTTCCCTGCTACTGCTGTGTAGCATCAGTTTTGGTTCTTTTCTTTAATATAATTTCCAGATGCACTTGTAACATCTTTTAATCTCTTAAATACTTTGGGGGAGGTGGAATCCCAATTTTTCTTCTTCTTCGAGTTCTTCCCCTTGGCAAATGGAAGATAATTGAATAAGTCCATTTTCTTTTTAGTACCCAGCAATTGTGGATATCAGAGAACCGGTCATAAATGCTAAACGCCTCCTTTGGGCTTGTATACAGTATATTTAGATACCAAGAGAACGCTATTAATATGCTCCATCACCTAGAGTAAGTATTAAGGGCAGGAACATCAGTGATGGGTGGAACTAGTTTCCAGGGTCAATTGAAATTGAGCGGCCAATATAGTTTAATGAATAAATAAATAAATAAATGATTGACACACCAATAGATGCAAGCGGTGGCTTCCTAATTAATGGCACTATTCCCTCTGTCGGGCTGGAGAGAGGGAACCTGAATATTTAGGGAACAAAAACAAAAAAATAATCTGATTATCCTTTCTCTTTGTTTTAATCTCTTGTCCTGATTCTTGTGCATTATTTTAATTCTCTGCAAAAGCACTCCATAGTACTTGCCAGGCCTGTGTCTAACACTAACGTATTTCTCTGCAATTACTTGTCCTTAAACTAGACTAACAAATAGCAGAGTAAAACAGCTCCTGTCTGCATGGCTAAATTTGATGGGGGTAGTAAAAATTGAAAATGCTAGCAGAGTTGATTTGATTTTTCTACTACTAAACTGAAGACTGTTATATTCCACAACCTTGTTTAATATCAAAGATAACCATAAAACTCAGATAGTAAATAAATATTCACTTGCAACTCGATCTAGGCGTTCATCGTTACATTTCAGAGGCACAGGGAGAGAATTCTGGACACAGCCCCACTGAAATGAAAAGCAGTAATGCTGGAACTCAGCTATTCCATTAATTTTAAATTAAGCTTAAAGCCAAGTTGAATTGTTGCAAAAAGAGTGGTTTGCTCTGGAAGCACGCAGAAAAATTTATCTGGCACAGTGAATTTGGGGAATCTAAGGAGCACCAGATATGCATAATTAATAATGCCTATTAACTCTAGCATCTCTCAAAGATGGCACCAGCCTAGACACTGCCACGCAGAAGCTTGGCTGATATAAATTAAGGCATTGCTCTGTTTGTTTTTGGTTTAATGTGATGTGATCATGTATTTCCTACAGATTAGCATCCATATTAGCTTCTTCAGTAACCTGCTTGAATGCCTTGCTTTGCCACTATATACAAAGGAGAATAGTGACTATAAACATGGGGTTTTTAATAAAGCTTTTTATAAAGCTTTTTCTCCCCCTCTCTTTCCAACCCCTGAATTTTGAACTACATCATCAAGGAAAGTTGTCTTTGTTTTTCAGGTGAAAGAGAAAGAAGCTGCTAGAAGAGGTAGGATGGAACAATTTATTTTATTTTTAGCTTAGCACCCTCAACAGCTGTTTTAAAACTGAAACGTTTTGTAGGTATTATAACTGAAACCTGTCTAGGTTGCCTTATTAAAGGTTTGGGCTTTGTTGTTAGGAAAGCTCAGGAAGGTTGCATATGCTATTGATAGTATCTCTAAATCATCCTATCCTCCAGTTTCGGGGTCCTAACAGTTCATTTGTTTTTCCCATTTGATGAATGGAATTTGTCACTTCTTAGTCTTCAGTTTTAGATGTTGGTAGAATGCATCTTGTGTTCTTAAAAATGTTATTTTCAGAATCCAATGTCTTGTAGTATACAAGCTAGAGGGAAAACAAACAACCACAACACTTACTATAGACTAATCCATTTTGTTTGAGTTTTGTAATTCGGGACACACCTCAAAACTCAATTGGATGTGGGAAGAGAGTAGGCTTAGTAACATTTAAGAAATAATTTGGAAAGACTGCTTTGGAGCACATGGGGGTACAAGTATCATCAGTCCAGAAAAAGATGCAAAACTTTAAATAGTCGTAAATAGGGGCTACATTTGCGCCCCAAATGTTCTGAAGCAACTTTCTTAAATTAATCTTCTAGGGAAAATACTGCAGAAGATACTTTTAGAAGGACAGCGTATTCCTTACCTGAGCCTTTTAGGCTTTTGCTAATCTGAAAAGAGCAGCCTTGTTCTTCAGCTAACTGTCCTTAAAAAAAATTATTTTCTTTACTGTCCCCATACCAACTTTCAGATGCTTGGCACTTCAAAAACATAAGGCAAAAAAGATTAACATTTGCCTAGCATGAACTCAGATGTCCATGAATGCTTTGCTTTACAACTTTTCAAGATTTTATTGTCTGTTTGTAATAACATTTATCCGCACAAACCAAACTCTTACGTATTGTACAGAATATTTCACCATTCACAGCAAGGAGAAAGCCACATTTTTAAGCACTTGTGGAACACTATTAAGGTAGGAGCTAAACAGATTTCTGGGGCATATTGTGTCAGAGAAGGCACACTTCCTGGGTCCCAGTAGGTGGCATTGTTGGCATAAATGGGACTGCGATTCATCAGCTTTGTCTAATCTTACAGATAAACAGAAACCATGGAAGATAATCTTGTCAAACAACTAGGCCCTGTGCCATAAATTATAACAAGCACTTTCGATTGCATCTGGAAGCTCCCTGGGTATCAATCAGCACAGCTCATAGAGTGACAGATGGGCATTCTGAGGCATGTCCGTTACTGCCCCTTCTGCTGCAGCTCCCAAAAGGTCTTTAAACAGGAGCCCCATGTAGAACCATTGCAACAACCTGGCTGTGAAGTGAATAAGTCATGAGGGACCAACTGAAGGGCCTGCTATACCTGATCCAGGAACAGGCATAGCTGGCACATGAGATGAAGCTGTGCAAATAATCACCTACAAGAATGTTTCACAACTTTGGTCACTTTAAGATCTGTGGACCTCAACTCCCAGAATTTCCCAACCAGCCATGCTGCTGGGAAATTGTTGAGAGTTGAAGTCCACAGGTTTTAAAGTGGCCAAGGTTGAGAAACACTGACCTACAGTATTAATTTTGAAATGGAATTGAAGATAAGACTGAATGTAGTTCTAAATGATATTATTAAATAGAATGTAACGTTTTGGTCCTATTAATATTATGGTTAGTTGCACACATTTTTTATTCACCTATTGAATTCTTCCCAAGGATCTGGAATAGGCGGATGTTTGAAGGTGGCATAAAGGCATCCTTACCAGATGTTACAAATAAAGTTGCCTTTGTAATTGACTGATGGTGGTTTTGTCAATGCTGATGGTGTTCCAAATATTTTAGTGTTGCATCCAAGACACATGTTATCTTTGCTTTCTTTTGCCGTGGTAGTTCTATTTGCAGGTCTTTGTATTTTGTCATTTTCTCCAGTTCTTTCTTTTCTATTTCCACTGTCTAGAGATACAAAATCCATTATCCAGACTTTTTTCTTTCTTTCTTGTCAACAATTGTTACATCTGGTGGCAGGTGCCAGTCTGTTTGACCCAAATTCGATTTTGCACCTTTCATTTCACCTTTTTTATTCTTATTTACCTCCTTTATCCAAGCTGCATTCTTCTTGTATTTCTTTGGGTTGTCTCAAAGGTTCTTTTTCAAAAGGCAACTGGACCTGATGGAACAGGGAGCTGTGAACAGAAAGAGGTGGTCTCTTGTAGTGCTTCATCTGGGAGGTGGTCAGGACACGAGTCTCTTGATCCAGGTGCAACCAGCACGGAGCCCTCTTAGCCACGAGTGCCACCTGCTCCCCAAGCAGGAATCTGTTCAGAGTGCTGCAGCATAAATTCAGCACCAGAAAAGTAAACACAGATGGCTGAGGCTTCATTTAACTTCTTTATAAACACCTAACATAAATTTTACAATACCAGTTGTAGATTTCTCCAGCATGGAGCAAACTCAAACAGAAGCAGACATGTGACAGGTTCAGAGCAGAACAGCAGCAACTCAGGAGCTCAGAAACAGGCCTCAGTTTCACTTTAGTTCAGCAGGCAAGCAAGACACACAGCAGAGGAGAGAAGCCGTTTCACTTTCAATAGACAGACTCGGAGCTCAACAGAGTTGCAGAGCTTAATATAGAGCCACGCCTAGGCTACTTCTCGTTTCAGTTTCCAAACAGTCCTCATTGGCTGACTTAGTTGGTATGCCTATTCATTGGCTGACCTCGTTACCGGGCTCTATTCCAGTTCATGAATAGACTCTGACAGAGTCACGACCCCAGAAGGACCCTGGAGTTGCACTGTTTGAATGGAGAGGCTGCCTCCAGGAGATTTGCCTAAAAAATAAAGTCTGAGCAAGAATAAAGTACAATGGAATTTATGAAGAAGTTTGCAACAAAAACAGCAAAGGAAGCATGGGGATATATATTAAAATTAAAGGCACCCAAAACCTAGAGATCCCTCTCCCCAAAAAGAAAAACTAATTAAAAAATAGTATGGAACTGCAGCTTATATGTTTAAATCTACTATGCTGACCAGGGCTAAAGAGACACGGACAAATTCAACCAATTTATATATTAAATTTCTATGCCACCCATCTCTCTATGTGCTGCTTACAATAAAATAACAGCAATATGATAAAACTTTGAAACATTAACATGATAAATAATTATAGTAGCTTAATAAGATTTTCCAGAAATAGAGGTTTGAGCAAAAACTAGAGGAACATTATTATCTTTAAAAACATAAACTTGGAATTGGTTTTGCTTCTTGTCTGTGAGGCGGGAGCAACCAAAATCACTCCTGAAGAGTCAAGAATCTCGCCAGACGTCCTGCATTCCTATGGAAGACAAGTAAGATAAGGCTTCAGAGATTCTGGAAGACGTCCAGCCTGCGTGGCCTACTGCACACAGTACTTTAGATTCAAATTTAGGGTCCCGCTTGGCCCCTCCCTCCAGCCTAGCTGGAGAACGCCACCAGATGGATTTGTAACTGGCTAACAAACCGTACTCAATGTGTAATCCTTACTGGAACTAATCCACATGGAGGGAGGTGGGCAGTGGGATACCCGGGGATTCCGTTTTAGACCCGGCTCTCTTCCGTATCTTCATAAATGGCTTAGATGAAGGGCTAGAAGGGGAACTCATCAAACTTGCAGGCGACACTAAGCTGGCAGGAATAGCCAACACCCCAGAAGATAAGCTCAGGATTGAAAAGAATCTTGACAGACTTGAACGCTGGGGCCTCATCCAACAAAATAAATTTAACATAGAGAAAAGCAAGGTTTTTGTACTTGGGCAGAAAAAACCAAATGTACAAATACAGATTAGTGAAACCATGACTCCAAAACAGTAACTGTGGGAGGGATCTTGGAGTCCTAGTGGATGATCATTTAAGTTTATGAGCCAGCAATGTGTGGCGCAGCCCAAAAAGTGAATGGAATCCTAGGTTGCATTAATAGAGGGATAGAGCCAAAAGCTTGTGAAGGATGAGCACCACTTTAGAAAGCTCCTTAGCATTCTACACTTGTAATACTGCTTCCAATTTTGGTCACCACAATATAAAAAAGATGTTGGGGCACTAGAAAAAGTACAGAAAAGAGCAACGAAGATGATGATTAGGCGGCTGGAGGCTAACGTCGATGAAGCACAGTTGCAGGAATTGCGTATGTCTAGTCCAATGAAAAGAAGGACTATGGGAGACATGATAGCAGACATGATAGGAGTATTCCAATGTTTGAGGAGCTACCACAAAGACAAGGGGTGGAGGTGGTTTCAACCTACTCTCCAAAGCACCAGGAGGCAAGACAAGAAACAGTGAATGGAAACTCATCAAGGAGAGAGAGAAGCAACCTAGAACTCAGGAGACATTTCCTGACAGTGAGAACAATTAAACAGTGGAACTCCTTGCCTCCAGAAGTTGTGGGTGCTCCATCACGGGAGGTTTGCAAGAATAGATTGGATAGCCATTCGTCTGAAATGGTCTGTAGGGTCTCCCACTCTAGCAGGGGCTTGGACAGAAGACCTGCAAGGTCCTTTCCAACTCTGTTATTCTGTGTTCTTTGTTCTGTGTTCCATTCCATTGTCCTACTATGGGGCGTGGACCGTGGGGTCCTTCTGATGGAAACATCTTTTCTTCCTATTGCAGCCCCTCCAACTCCAGCGCTACTGTAATGCATCCATACTTGACGCATACAATAGCGCGTGGGGGGTTGTGTTTCCTATTATAAACTGGTTTGAGGACCTCAAAATACGGCTACAGGACCAAGCAGTTGGTGTGGTTTGATATTTCTGATCTGGTGTGCCTTATAAGGTCTTCACTTCTATCTGCTTGATTCAGATTAGTTCTTCACAGTTTTTTGGAGCACTTCCTGGTTGTTTGGGTTGAGTAGAATTTCCATTTGCTGAAAGGTAATTATATTTTAGTTGCAAACAATGTTTAATTGTTTTAGTTTGCTTTAATGATATGTGTTGTTTTTCTTTTGTATTTTTATTTAAAGATTTATATACTACCTAATTAAATCTTTTTTTTGAATGGCCACACAAATGTTCCAAATTTTTAACTTAATTTTCAATTCAATTTAATTTTATTACAGCCTTTAGCTAGCAGATTAAAAAAAGACAAATAGATAAACAACAAATAAGCATTTGTAACAATCAGTCTTAGGGGCAGCTTGCTGGGTTCTTGATTTTAAATGACAGAATTTCACAGCATTGTATAGCAATAGCACTTAGACTTGTATACCGCTTCATAGTGCTTTACAGCACTCTCTAAGCGGTTTACAGAGTCAGCATATGTGGTGTGAAAGATCTTATCAGGAAGCATAAATTCAGTGTGGAAGGTATCGGATAGACCGGGGATTGGTGCTAGAAGAGCAGAAACAGATTTTGGCTCAATGTGATGTGCCAGCGATGTGATTGATTCCATTTTTTTCCTTGCTGCCCAGGAAGGGATCATGAGCCACAGGGAGATGCAATATCTGCTCTGTGAAATACTGACAGCCGGGCATTACAGTGAGCACCAGTAAAGACCAGTTTGTAATTTGAATGAGTCAGTGAATAAAGGTAGGGAACTTTGCCTCCCTAATGAATGGTTTATGCAAGAGCTGGACATTCTGTTCAGATTAGATTGCCACCCATTTTGAAGTAATTGTTGAGCAATCAACAATTTGCCTGAGTCCAACTTTGATGTGGTCTGGGAGATGCTGCATGAAAGTACCTTCTGCTTAAGGGATTTTTTCCAAGTAGACAGACATTTAAAGCTGGAGTGGGGCAACCCAGTGGGCTGATTGACGAGTTTAAGCCAATAATTAAATATTATTAGCCAAGCTTTTGTTTTCCCTATAACCAGCCTTGCTTCTAGCCTAAGAGCCACATTTGAGATGCATTCGGAAGTATGAAATAAAGAACTAGGAAGTGATTCCCAAGAACCAAAAAACTGATTCTCCTGGACTAAACTAGAATATAGACCAAGACTGACAGCTGCCAGAAATAGTGATATAAGTATAATCCAAGTAAGAGTAAGTATAGTCCAAGCTGTTGTCTAAGACTTTGTCTGGGAAAGTTTAATGCTATGAGTAAGATAGCTAGCAGTATTACCTTGAGCAGTGATACTATAGAATTGCTGTGGTAATTCTTTGGGCTACCTAATCAGCATGAGTGCCTCTTCCAGCATCGGCTTGGAAAATAATTCCAAAGTACTTGAAACATTGGTTTTATTTTTTCCGGAGTTTCCACATCTCTAAAAAGGATAGATTTTTCTTCCTCACTCTTCTTAGAGTAGTATTAGAATTAGCTTTGCATAGCCTTTAGTAAGTATACTGCTTTAGTAAACAGTAGATACATTTTAAATAATTAAATAAGAAAAACTAAACAAAGCAGATTGAGCCAGTTTGGGGCAGTGGTTAAAGCCACAAGGCTAGAAACAGAGAGACTGGGTTCTAGTCTTGCTTTACGGCACTAAGCCAGCTGAGTGACCTTGGGCCAGTCATTTTCAGCCTGAGGAAGAAGGCCATGGAAAAACCATGCCTGAAAACTTGCCAAGAAAACTGCAGGAATGAATCCAGAACAGTCATCGGGAGTTAACACAGACTTGAAGGCAGAAAAATAAAAATAAAAAACGAAGCAGATCAAAATCATCAGATCCTCCGCCATCGATCTCCATGTATCATAAATGCTGGTGAATGATTTGGCTTCATCGGCCAAGAAGGTGAAAAGACAGCAGAAGAAGTGATGTGATTCTGCAGCTGAATAATGCAATTAATCCCACAAAGAATTGTGTATTGCAGCTAAACAGGAAATGCTTACTGGATAATTTTTACTTTAGAAGGTGCTGACAGCATGCAACAAGTAATATTGCAGCTAGCTGAAAGGGTTAGTTAGCATAATTGACTGTTTTAATAACCTGCCTCCTTTCTTGCTTCCCTCCAATTTGTTTTCTTCAGTATACAAAATATTGTGTTATGACTCCTTGAATAAAATGAGGCTCCTTAAAAACAACAGCTCTGCTGATGGGGGAAATTCTTATTCATAATCAGTGATGTCCTGATAGGTAGGACATGATTGCAAAAATACCTGGAGTTAAATTCTCAGATGGGACTGAAAGCTGACATTTACTTTAAGAACGGCAGCCTAGAATTGTGCAGTGCTTCAAATTCAACGGCAAAACAGTACATTGGAGCAGTGGTCACCAACTGGTGGTCCAGGGACCACTGGTGGTCCGCAGAGGTTTGTGTGTCCCCCCCCAAACACTCCCCCCAAAGCAATTAATCCAGGCTGCGCGGGAACAGAAGGCTGCACCGCCCACATGGCCGCCCACCCACTGGCCCCCACTTCCTTCGGCTTTCGGAATTTCCAATGGTGACATTTAAGGTGGAAACTTGGTAGAATTTGCAATTTCTGTCTTGAGAGGTTAATACTAAGGTTTTTTTTTTCCCCCTTTCAGTTTGCAGCGTACATTATCTTTAGTGCCTGAAAAAAGTGCATAGTGGCTTTTTCATTTCCTAAGGTTGAATGTTGCATTTTTGAACAATAATCATCTTTAAAGTGGACTATTCATACGGTAACAATTCACTGCTGGGGACTGGTATTTATGCTTTTGGGTTTGTTTTTGAGTTGTGGGTCGTTCTTTCAGCAAGCTGGACAGGTGGAAATCGTGGCTTTAAGTTTGTCTAGTTCCATCTCTCTGTTGCCAATTTGTTATAGAAGAGTTTGAGTTTCGTTTTCTCCAAATTATGAATATTGGTGTCCCCTCTTCCATTTTATTTATTTTGTCTATGCACTGCCGGTTCAAACTGATTCACAGAAGTTACTTACATAATGAGATATAGACAGTCAACCTTTTAAAAGCATTCTCTTTCTCCTTTTTTCTACGACCCTGTAATCCTTTATTTCGGGGTAGAGTCAAGGGAGGGGAACTAGATGGAGCTGAGCATTTACTGGCCGGATGCCCTCCCTGCAGCTGCACCAAGTTTGCAGCAGATATTCTTTCTTTGTGCTCTCGTAAATAGCTAAGATTTGCTTAAGCAGAACATTTTAGTGTGGATGACATCTACAAACATTTCACTCCTGACGGTACAAGTAGTTCTCAATTTAAAACTACAGTTGAGTCGAGAATCTCAGCCACTGAGTGGAGCAGTTGTTAGGTGGGATGTGACATGATGCCCAGTTTTGAAAAATTTAAAAGCATGAATTAAAATAGTAAGAAAAAAGTAAAAAGAAACTTCTGTAAATTAGCCCTCCGTAAAATGGCTTCAGATGTTCAGATTTATCAGCATTGTAAGCAAAGGCCTGTGGGTTCAAGCAGATGAAATGCTTCTAAATCTCTCGATTTGGCAAGTGACTCTTTAGGGAAGAGCCCCAATTATCACTCACCTCTGCTGCAGCTCACCTCTTTTTCCGATGGGCTGTATAGATATAGGTATGGAGCAGGGCTGTCAAACTCAGGAGCTCGGGAGCATGTTTTCTCTGGCAGAGAGCTCGGGCCACTACAGGTGCCCCCGACACGATGTCGAGCTGGCCGCGGCCCCCCGAGGTCAAACACAACCCTGATGTGGCCCTCACTGAAATCGAGTTTGACACCCCTAGGATACAACATGCAATCTTAAGAGAAAATAAAGGGACATGGTCAGAATTTGTTCTTTCATCTTTCTATCCTACTGCAAATTATTTAATGACATGGGATATGGTGAACAGTGGAATTGCAGTAGATAATTTCATTTCTTTACTTGGTTTTCCCTTTTTGTGTCTGTGACTTTCAAGTGAGTTTTTGACTCCTGGTTGACCCCCTGCACTAGTCCCTGTGATTTTCCTGGCAAGGTTTTCCAGAAGTGGCTTGCCATTGCTTGCTTCCTAGGGCCGAGAGAGGGGGACTGGCCCAAGGTCACTCAACTAGTTTCCTGCCTAAGGCAGGACTACGAGTCACGGTTTCCCAGTTTCCTGCCTACTGCCTTAAACACTACACCAACCACTTTCACACTTCTATCCTACTGCAGAGACTAGTATCTTCTAGTATCATTTAACGACAGGTAATCCTCACTTTATGACTGTAATTGAGCCTAGAATTTTGGTCTTAAGTTGTGACAGTTCTAAAGTGGGTTATCATGGGACTGCGCACAATTTTACAACTTTTTTTGTGGCAGTTGTAAAGCAAATGCCATGAGGGTTAAGCAAAACTCATTGTTCACTTTGGGTGATTTTTGCTGGGACCTGGAAATAAACTCACGATTGGAAAAGTTTTCCTCCCAATGCAGAACAACAACAACAATCATGATATGATGATGATGATGATGATAATGGTGATGATGATGATGAAGAAGAAGAATGTATGCTCGGTGGAGCAGAGTTACGCTTTGCTTGATTCTCTAGGTTGTTAACTCTCTACTCTTTCATGTTCACAGACAGCTCTGATTGAATAACTGTTGTCTTGCCTTTTTGTTTGTCTTCAAGCAAATGGTGATGAGCCTCCGAGTCTCTGAGTTGCAAGTGCTTTTGGGTTACGCAGGAAGAAACAAACACGGCCGCAAACACGAACTCCTCACTAAAGCCCTTCACTTGCTCAAGGCTGGCTGCAGTCCTGCTGTCCAAATGAAAATCAAAGAACTTTACAGGAGGCGGTTCCCGCAAAAAATAATCACCTCTGCAGACTTGTCCATCCCAAGCGTCCACTCAACGTCCATGTCATCCCCTTTGTCGTCCTCTACCATTCCGCAACTGGCTTTTGATGGCCCCCCAGCAACCTCGCCATTGCTTCCTGTTTCTCTCCTGGGACCTAAACACGAACTGGACCTGCCCCATCTGACCTCAGCACTCCACCCAGTCCACCCGGACATAAAGCTTCAGAAGTTGCCATTTTATGACTTGTTGGATGAACTGATAAAACCAACCAGTCTAGGTAAGGGAATATTATTGTCACTTTTATAAACGCAATCGTTTATATGCATGAGGATGTAAGTAATGCATTTAAGGATCTCTTGCTTTTCTTCCTTGACAACTCCCAACTTGCAGATTGAAAGCCTGTTACCTCCAGTTTGGATGGAACGATTTCTTGACTTTTTAAAGATGGACTGGAGTCTGGGTGCTATATTTACAGTTATTTAGGTGGATGAACATGGTACAAACAAATTTTGAATGAATACAAACAAATTTTGCCAGAATATGTAATTGTAAGCTGTTGAATTATTCTTCAATAGAAAACAATTTGACTAGGGATTATTTTATTAAATAAGTTATTGGACCGTCATTGCAGAATGCTACTTAGTAATGTTCTTACTAATGAAAAAAAAAGGCCTAAGTCACAACCTACAAATTTTAAAAGTATGCTTTGATATTCCAGAATTTTTTTGGTCATATGTTTACAATGTGGCTTGCTAACACAAGCAATCAAAATGCCAAAAATTTGAAAGACTTTAAGTTTATTTTATTTTGCACTATCGGAATTACCAGCTCACCAGAATGCTTGATTAGCGATCTTGTTACACATACAAAATTTGAGCTAGCTTACAGCTTCCAAAAATCTTTTGGGCTCAAAAAGGGAGTCTGTTTATAGACTTTACTCATTTTTAAGACCATTTTTCTTAATGTGTTTTTTCTTAATGTTGAACTAATATGTAAAAATGCTGAAATAAGATATTTCTATTATTTTTTCCTAAACACATTAGACTAAAATATGGGTGGAAACTATAGGATATATATTGCAGGGGGCCTGCATAAGCGCACCAATGTGTCTACTGTCCCTGACCTATTATTTCTTTTAATTTTCTTATATGTACCCATTTCATGTATTCATAACTATGTTTATACTTATACCTATTATCTTGTAAGCAATTGACAAATCAAATCAAATAAATAAATATGTGTCTAGTGTGTCCAGAACCACAAGACTGAGAAAGGCTGATGAATACTTTATTAATTATGGTAATTAGTGAGCAGGCCTATGACAAACAGTACAAAAGCACTAGGTAGACAATGCAACAAATAAAATAGACCAAAATAATCAAATTAGAGACTGTAAGGAATGCAGAAGCTAACTAAAATATATTACTGGCCAGAGCCTAAAATCAAATAAAATTATTGATACTGTAGTATAGCCATAAAATAAAATGAGATGTCACAGTTGAGAGCACTTTTAGGCATAGGTATTTAGCTATAAACATAAAAGAGAGATGTTTGATCATTAAAAAGGTTGCAAATGAGACAATTGGCAATCTAGAAGGTGCTAAAAGTTTTATAGATGATCGGATGTGCCAAATGTGAGTTGAGGGCAGAATCTCTTAGCTGCAGAACCAAATGTAGCTATCCAATAACATTTCAGGGGTCTAACAGAAGTAAGATATATAATATAAACTTTGGGAGAGGTGAATTTACGGGACATTTATTATTATTATACATGTTCTATGTTTTTAAATGTCTAAGAGACACTTGCCTTATATGAAGGAGTCCAACTGACCTATCCATAGTCCTGTAGCTTTCTGGGTGTCTCAGGGGATTATATTGATGTGAAGCTTTTCAAATCCTGAAAGAATCTGTCTGCAAGGCCCTGCCTCTCCTCCTCACTCAAGAAAGTAAACACTCTTGGAACTTGGTATTTCAAAAGGAACCTTTTATTGAGCAGAAGTGATAGCAGAACAAAAGCAAAGCAGGCTCTGAATCCCCTCAGGCAATATAGTTGGAAATAAAGCACTTTCAGCCCAAGGTGGATTCAGCCAATCTGCAGGTGTGAAGTTATTGTAATATTGTATTGTATACTGAAAACCAGATAAGCAAGCATTCCCACGGGCTTTCAGAGTGAAACAATCCACATGGCCCTCCCCCCTTATACATTCCCCAAAAGGTGAGAAAAATCTCAGGGTGCTTAGGTGAAAATAGCAGTTGACAAAAGTAGAAATAAAGAAATATACTTGGGGTCCCACTCTTTCCCCAGTTGAATGGCAGTATCACTCTAGGGATCTGAGACTGTCTCTCCTTTCAAGCCATTATCTAACTACGTAGACTCTAAACAATGTTGCAAATCATTAACCAATTTCATGTATATTTGAGTAATATTCAGCTCTCTAAATTATCTCCTTTTCAATTAGGAAGAGGAGATAAATTGAGCTTTTCAGTCCTTGATGAATTCTGGTCAGAAGCACAGAGTAAGGTAATAATGTAGTATTGCATACTCCAAATAATTCGTGCCCAAGAGAACTTTGCAAAGTCCTAATCCAGCCTTTCATGGCTTTCTTGAAAAAAGATTACTTATCAGCACTACTTCAGACAAACGGCGCAGCTCTGCGGTACGAATGCACGCTTGAAATGAAGTTTCTTAAAAAAAAACAGGAGTGCAGATAAATGTTTTTGAGAATTAACATGCCTTGGGGTATGTTAAAATGCAATGGTACCGTAGTTAATTGTTCAAGGCTAATTATTAAATCCTGTTAATGTATTAGGTTAACTCAAAAGCATCTGTTGAAGTCTCTTTTGTATCTGGAGTATCCTCACTTCTTTTTTTTTTTTTACTGTTTGTTCAGACTCTAAAGGGCTGATGCAAATTCCAGTTACTTGTGACTCTTTCCTGCTTGGATTGCGGCCAGCCCTGCTGAGTCTCTGGCTTTTTTTCTTTGCTCTCTCGGGGCCCTAATAGACATTTGGGTTTTCACACTTACAATATGGCTATCATTTTGAGGGCTTATTGAAGAGAACCAGAAGCGGCTCTCGGTCCCTTGAGAAGATGGTGTCCCCTTGCTATTACTCTTAAGATACAGGTGTTCTTTTGTCGATGGAAATAAATTCACGGGCAAGAATTCTTCTCTGAAACTACACAGTTGCAGTTCTTAATGATTTGAGGATTTTATTTTAAATGTGTTCTTAAGATCAGCAAGAAAATAATTTTGTCAGTGTCTTTTAAGATCACAAGGAACAAGTTTTTTATGTTTCCGGCTGATAATTTCAAATAAATTGTTAGCTTTAGAAATGAAATGTACAGTGGGAACACACTTTTATTTTAATTTTAAATATCGAGCTAATTCTTCTGCAGTTTTTGATGCCTTTCAGTATTGAAACGAGAGAATGCCTTATGAATAAAAAAATGGACCATTTCATCCTTTAGTATTATGAAATGACATGGGATTAATTCCCTGCTAATCCTGGATTCAGACGTCATCTGTAATAATTTCCAGCATCAAATTGTTCCCTGTCCCCCACTGAGCCAGTCTGTGTGGTTGTTATTAAAAGTCTGTGCATCGGTTGACTTAGAGGGGTTTGTGTTTTGTCCAGCCTAATGGGAGCTATGGAGGGATTTGGACCTCCTGAGATATAAGGGCTTGTTAGTTTCTTCCACTGTAGCAGAAGTATAACTGAGTGAAATTTACAGCATTCCCTTCTTAACACATGCTTGCACTTGTTCTACTCCTAGAATTCAAATAGAGGTGGCCTGTTTTAAATCATATAGCAAAAAACACTATTATATTCTGCTGCAATCCTTTTATCTTTCCATTAATTCTAGATCGACCTATCCTGTTGCTGCCTGCTTCTGTGAAATCTTCGTGTAGAAAATAATTCCTCTTTCCTGCCACAACAATCTAAAATATATTCCTGGTTCTAACAGATGTTATCCATTAAAGGAGCTATGATAATGCCTGCTTAAATTGACCAAATATTAATGGTCTTAGTCTAATCCTGCAAGGATCCAGACAGTTACAGAAGCCAGGTGTTGACCTGGATGCATGTTTGCAGATGAAATGCTGCTCCAAGTCCAACCCATTTTGTTTTCTTACACATTTTTTAGTCTGCCATAGTTTGCAGAGGCCCCTTGGATTGTTTGTTTAAAACAGGTAGAGCTCAGTTCCTTTGTTAGGGTTCCAATTTCTAGGTAATCCATACATGCCACATCTAGATGTAATATCTTTATCTACTGATAACAATGTTATTGAAGTCGTTTAGTCCTCAGAAGAAACGGGGGTGAAATCCTAGAATAACATGGAATAACAAGATTGGAAGGGAGTGTAGTCCAAGCCCTTCTTTTACAATTAAAGAAGAACACCTAATCTCAATTTAGAAATACAGAATGAAGTAAAATATTTTAACACTGGACATATTAAAGCTTATTTTTGAACAGTGGACCCAGAAGTTAATTTTAATCTATGGCGCTTAAAATGTTTTATTTATTTATTTGATTTGTCAATTGCTTACGAGGTAATAGATATAAGTATAAACATGAGTAAGAATACAGGAAATAGGTACGAATAAATGGGGACAATGGGACAGGGAGGGTAGGCACAATGGTGCATTTTTGCACGCCCCTTGTTATGGAAGAGATTTTACCTGATTGAGACTGATTTCAAAGTGGATTTAAAAATGATAGGCTACAAGAATGACATGGAAAAGCTATCACACTGGACATACAAAAGAAACCAGCTAATATCTTAATAATTAAAAGGGATATATAAATAACAAATCTGGATAATTTTGCTATATTGGATTTACGAAAGAGGCTTGTTAAAGCTGAAGAATTTTGTGAAAAGGGACAAAAAAAATGAAAAGGAACCAAGTTCTATGATATTATTTGAAGGGAGTAAGGATCAAAATGAAGGAATATAAACTTGGTTTATTTTGTGACTGCGAGATGGGCAACATAATGTGTAAATATTTTATCACGGTTAAAACAGATATGTTGTTGTCTCTGGAATCTCTTAATAGACTTTTGCTGACATAGGGACTGAAATGAGGAGCCTTGAGGTATTTGTTTATAGATAAGAGACAGGAAACAGGAAGAAGAAATTTGTCTCATTTTAAGAGAAGATCTTACATTATTAAAATAGTTTACACTTGTTGTGATTAGGGGAAAGTCATTTCTTTATTCCTTTTCTTTTTCTTTACTACTGTGTATTCTTTTCTATTGTATTCTTTCTTTTTTTTTCTTTTATGTACCTTCTATGATTCTGTGAAACTTTATGCCCAAATTCAAATGTTTGGATTTGAGAGGCCAAAGTAATTATAAAAATGCCATTCGTTACATGTGTGCATGCGTGTTCATATACGCACACACACACACACACACACACACACACAGAGAGAGAGAGAGAGAGAGAGAGTCTTCAAGTCTATCTGACACCAAAAACCAGGTCAGCTGGCTTGATGAATACACAAAATAATTTTGTGAAGCTCAAAAGGATTATTTCATGTTTGATTTTGCAGGACCAAGTCCTCTGTCCTTGGGTGAGAAGGAACTGAGTGGCAAAAAGCTTGCAAAAATATTGTAGTTTGAGGAGATTAAGAAACTTCCACATCTCTGCCTTTTTCCATGACCGTGCTCAATTTCATTGCAATCACAAGGGCAGATTAAAATCTAAATGGAGTATCATTGTCTTCCTATGATTCTGTGAAACTTTATGCTGGTGGTATTCCACAAACTCTGTATATTTAGTGAACAGAGTGCAGCAAAGATGGAGAACAAGCGGGGTTAGAAAATTATGGTAAAATACAGTAGTGCTTTCTTGGATTAATATAATATCTCTTACGTTAATAAATGTCCCATAATGTAACTGTATAAAGCAAAAATTCTTCCTCATTTTATTGTACTGTGAAATATTCCAGCAAATAGCAATTTGGCGATACAATTTATCTTGAGTTATTGTAATAAACTCAATTATTTAGCAATGGCCAATTTGCAAGGAAAGATTGAAAGTGCACCCAGTGAATAAATAGAATTGAGGAGGACTGGAACTGAGTTGGGGAGCCTGCTTGGGATAGAACACTGCATGTTCACCCAGGACCATTTTTGAATGGTTAACTGGATTTCTTTTTCCAATTCAGAAAGGAATATGTTACCAGAAGAGCATTTCAGTGATATATTTATAGCTACAGCTTTCTGTGCGTGGGTCATTAAATGCTTGTTTTAACTGAAGGTAATGGAACTGTTAATATAATATCTGTAAATTACTGTAAGGGGGTACCTGGCTGGTTTGCTCTCAAAGTTTATATTATATTCAGATTTCAAACATTGCTCAGTATAGTTTTAATTGCATCTTTTAATCATAAACTCTTAACTGTATATGTTTTATAAAAATATGCACAAGCTTCTCATAAATACAGGAGTCATATATATTTGTCTTTATCAAAGAGTCTGTTCTAATGCCTCTAAAAACAGCCCACAGCAGGCATGCTCAACCTGCGGCCCTGGAAGCTGATAACGCGGCCCCATAAGAACTCCCCAAATAAAGGAAGTTAATTATATACATTAACTATATTATATGTTTTATATGCAGGTATAGTATCAGAGTCCTGACTAGTTTCCACGTTTAATTTATAATAGTTTTTGGGTGATACATTTGTCTTACTTTCATTTTCCTATTAAAGTCAGAATACTTTTTTTTCTTTCAAATAATGCAGTTTGTTAACTTAGCTTGGCTGAAATTCTGCTGCCTCACAAGCTGTACGCTGGGCTTAGAAACATGATGAGTTTTGCAAATCTTAGAAGAAACCTTTCTATCCACCTCCTTCGTGGAAGCTAACAGAGCAAGAGAAAGTCTATGTTGAGCTCTTCTTTATTGCATTTCAATTAAAATATCCTCTTCTTAGTTGGTAGAACATAATCCCCTTTGGCTCTGCTAATTCTTCCTTGTTTTGTTCTACAAGCATTTGTTTTATGTTATGAGAAGAGATAATTTGTATTTAATGACTCACATTTAATCAAACGACTTGAGACTTCAGGATGTAAATCAGATCTTTGTGAATGAGTTTCTGCACTCTCAGTCATGCAGGGAATGTATAGAGTGCGCTGTAATAATGTGCCACACAAGTTGAAGCTTAATGCTTAAAATATGGATTCTCCCTCACAATTACTCCGAACTGTTTTGTCAATCAGAACATTTTACTTTGTGTTCTTCATCAGTCTTTTTTTTTTAAATGGCTCAGCGTGTCAGGTTTTAGTCCTGTTATATTTTCTATTTCTAAAGTAATTTTTGAAATCAACTTCCAGTTCTTTTCCAAGGTAAGTCTATATCCTGTGAGAAGAATCAACCCCTAGAACAGTGTTTTCCATCGCAATCTTAAAGCTGCCATGGTTGGAAACATTGCCCTAGAAGATAACCTAAGGTTGGGTTGATGCTAAATTTCCTAAAATGATGACAGAATTGTCTATATAACGAAAAATAATCATTGTCATGTTTACTTAATCTCCTCTTGACCTCTCTTTAGCATCAGATAATAGCCAGAGATTTCGGGAAACCTGCTTTGCATTTGCCCTGACTCCACAGCAAGTGCAGCAGATCAGCAGTTCCATGTAAGTGGTCCTCCTGCCCTTTTAGTGCAATGCTTCTTATTTCCAAAAGGTGGTGACCTTTTGAAGAGGTGTGTTTATAATTGTGGGGCAGGACTTTTTTTCAGGTTTTAGCATTCCTAGTGAGGATGAGGTGACCTTGGGGTGTGATAGAAGTGCAATGTAAAGCTTTAATGTTTAATGTGGCTTAGGGGAATGAGCAAAGGAATAGAGCGGGGGGGGGGGTCAAACTCAAGCCAAATAGGGTGCTTAGAGATCTGTCCCGCGGGGCCATCCTGGAAAAAGCGAAGGACCGGCCTGTGGTGACTCTGCCAGTGAAAACAGCGTGTGAGGGCTGGGCGTGGCCCCCCTGAGCACCGTTTTCGCTGGTAGAAGGTTGCAGGAGGTTGTCACAGCCGTCAACGGAGCTCAGGAGCCTGTTTTCGATGGCAGGTTGGTTGGCCCACCACAGGCACCCCCCCCCAACACAAGTGACATCATGCTGACCACATTTTTGGCTCATGTGATATGAGATTCTTGCCTTCTTAAAGAACGCATTCTTTCCGTAAGATGCACAGTAGAACGAACCGATGTTCTTTTCGTGGTAAATTCTCTTTAATTTGGTCCAAGTCTCTCTTGCTATGCACAAGCACCCGGCTACTTATATATCTAGAGATACGCGCACTGGCTTCTGATTTTGGAAGTTCCAAGTTCTTTGTTCCTCATGTCCACAGAGTCTTTGTGTTTCCATAATCCAGTGGTTTTCATAAATATGGTAGGCCCATTCTTCCCAACTTGGCTTTTGAAGATAAAATGTATGGGAGCACATTTGCCTTATGCTGCCTCATCTTTTCTCCTTGTATTATGCTTGCCAAGGGCTGACACAACAACCACACAAAAAAGCCTTTACACTTACTTTGCCATTCCTGGGATCTCTGCACTTAATTTTTGTAACCTTTCCTCTTAGTTATCTAGTAATTCACAAGTCTGGGCCACTTACTCCACAAGTATAATAAAAAATTACTTCAAGTGTGGCCATGCCGTTCTATGCAGGCTGTTTGCAGGTCAGCGTACTGTTGCCCACACTTTGCTTCTAACTGGGAGTGCTAACTCCTAACACATGAGTGCCCTGACCCCCATGTTCAGAGTATGTGCATTTTCATAATTTAAAATGATGCCAGAACCATATAAATGCTATTTGTCTATGTAGTCTGTTCAGAAACGGGGAAAGGATTTGAAGGAGGAGGATGAAGGTTGGATCAAATGGGCCATTTGCCATTGGATCAAATGTGCCATTTCAACATAGTTTGGTGCTGGCATATTCTGTTTCAAGCTTTACATGTTTAAATTATGTGATGGATTATTTTAACAGTCTGTATTTAATCAGTGTCTAATGTTTTTGTTAGGGATATTTCTGGAACCAAATGTGATTTCACTGTGCAGGTCCAGTTAAGGTAATTGCTTTTCCTATAATCCAGTTGCAATATGGTGTTTCCCTTCTCCTCCACATTCTGTGTCAAATATTGTGTCTACAACAGACTTAAATTATGCAAACTGGTAATGAGTATGCATATAAATGTTTCCCTACGTAATACATACATGTATATCTATAATCACAGGATTGTTGTTGGGGGCAAATAGGGGAGGAAAGAATGTTAGGTATGTTTGCCAAATTTAGTTATTTTTATGGGCTGAAAATAAATAAAATATAACATAACTGAACTTTGTAATATCCTTAGGTTTTGCTTATCTGAAACCAGTTGCCCACAAGAAGACCACTTCCCACCCAACCTTTGTGTGAAAGTTAACGGAAAACCATGTAGCCTTCCTGTAAGTATCTCCCCAAATATGAATACTATAGTCTTCTTTTTCATAAAACAATCCATGTGGGAGCTATGGATGGTTTGTGGCATAATTGTCCTTATAAGTGATCTTTGCATTCAGTGGTGCCTTTGTTTGACATGCAGAAGTCACCTGAGTTATTCTGTCTCTTCTGCTTACAGTTCTTTTGAGGCAAAATCTCCTAGGAGTCCAGTTCAATTTCTGGTGATATGACAAACATGACGAGTTGACGAGTTTTTTAGTCAGCAGGATGGAAGTGGTTACTATTCCCTTCTTATAGGATTCTTTAGTTTTACTTCCCAGGTTAGCCTACTGCCCTGGGGTGACCCATTGGTCTCTCATCCCGTAAAAATTGGTCTCCTATGAGCTGGTGATTTCGTGGACATGTTCATTGAATCTTTTTTTGCAACTAAGTACCAATGAAACCTGATCTTGGTAGCTTTTCAACTAGGGCACGGTCGGTCAGCTCATCTGTTTCAAGTTCTCCGTGTAAATTAAGTGGGATTTTTAAAAAAACTTGATGTTAAGCCCAACATTGACATATGTGTAGCCATTTTAGTTAGGCTTAGTATATATTCTTTTTCTTACCTTCTTCTTGGTGGTTTCATCACTTGGAAACCTGACACTTGATCTTTCTCACATAACATATCCCATTCCATAGTGCCCGAGCGTTGACTTTCTTCCTTGGCCTTTTTGTAGTATGAAATGAACTTTCTGGTCTTTGACTAGTTTTGGTTATCTGTCCATCTCTATCAACCTATCTCATAAAGGGAAATTAGGGGTGTAAGGATTTCATCTTAATTCCCTACCAACAAAAGGGACATAATGACCTACTTCAGATATTGATGTGGCCTCGAGCAAAAGGTCATGAAAAGGAAGACATGGCTTCACATGGTCATTTTCATAATGGTGACTTGATTTCTGGTGTTTCAGGGCTACCTTCCTCCAACTAAAAACGGGGTTGAACCAAAGCGACCAAGCAGACCAATCAACATTACTTCACTGGTGCGACTATCCACAACAGTACCAAACACAATTGTTGTCTCTTGGACTGCAGAAATAGGAAGAGTAAGTAATGTTTTTGCTACAAAGCAAAATTATTGGGAGGAGGGATTGTTACATCTAGTCAATGAATCAGAGTAGCTTTGTCTGAACTTAATGATTTCAATAAATATCTCTGGGGCTTTTTGTAGATTGGCTATCTCTAGTACATCTTGGCATCAGTTGGAAGAGATGGATGTTGCTTAGGGAGGCTTAGATAATTGGGCTCAGTGAAGACAATTCCAATTGCATGTGTAAGCAAAAGAAGAGACAACCCTAAAAACCACTATTTAATTACTTGCCTAGTTGCCAGAAGCAGTGAGGTATTGAGGGGCGTGAATGAAGACCACTCCTTGCTAGTCAGATTGAAAATAGCAGGAAACCGAAGTAAACCTGCTGAGGCTTCTGGTGCAGATCTAGTCATCCTTTTTTCAGGTGTTTTGCTGCAAGAGTGGAACTGATGATCAAGAGAGGATGGGGGGGGGGGGGTCAATTTACTCTGTGTAGTCAAACAGAGGCTGGACATGTTGGAGATGCTGAAGTCTGGATTTCAACACCTGCATGCCAGGGTTCCAAGTAATACAACCATAGCAAGCAGAACTCCGAGGCAAGCAGGCTCCTCAAAGAACAGGTTTATTGGACGCATCATATTGGCACAGACTGGTGAAAACCGACTCTAAAGGTTCCTGCGGTTTTCGCCTAACTAAAAATAAAAGTTATTTCCCCTTTCGCAAACAATCAGTCGCATGGTCCAGTCAAGGTGCTGACTGGTTGCTTGGAAATGTCACTCTTCCTCTTATCAGCCACCTGTGGGAATGTCCTTGGTTCTCAGGGGAAACTACTTTGTTTTGGCTACAAAATCCCTTTCCCTCAGCATCATTGAGGCAGCACAGAAGCCTCCAAAATGGCCTCAGTCAGGCCAGCTTCAGAGTAGATACTGGGGAGGGGTGTGTTAGATGGTTCTTTCCAACCCTCTGGTTCTATGACTTCAGGATTTGCGTCTCACGACTAACCTCGTGATGTTTCTGGAATCTGTGAGATTCCTTTGTAAAGGTGCATCGTGCAGGATTTCCAGACATCGCTTTTCAACCCAAGCAAAGGGAGAAGCTTGATGTTCTGCTTTCTCTGTTTATCAGATTTCTGTAAAGCTGCTGAGACAAGTTGCTTCTTTAAGTTAATGCTGGCAGTATGTTATTTTGGTTAATTTGGCTCTTGACCAAATTGGACCATGAAAGGGATGTGTGATAGATCTCTGCATAAGTTAGATATTTTACAAATTGTGGCAGCTTAATTAAAACAATGTTCAATTTAGAAAAAAGAAGGGGAAATGGAATATATATCTATATGCATTTGTATATATGGATGGATGTATGCAGACACAGACCTGTGTGAGTTAACTTTGCCCCAAAGAGTCACAACTTGCTGTGAAATAAGTTGAACTGGAAGCAAGTAAACATCGTTCTTTATTCCATAGTTCATAGAGCTGTAATTTTGCTTTTGATATACGCCTTGACATATAATTGTAAATAATAAAATATGTGAAGATGGCATAGAGGTAAGAGACTCTTTTGAGACAATCGGGACTTTATATAGTTTTGAATAAGAGTTCTACACCTCTCAACTGGCAATATATCTTAGGTTTGATGAATTCCTTCTTCCAGTTCTAAGTTGTATGTAAGTTATAGTGTTTATTGTAGAATAATGAAACTGGACTGAAATGGCGTCAGAATCCAATCCAGGCATTTTTGAACAAACTTTTATCTTGAGGTATTTGACCTTAGGAAAACAAGGCTTTTAGTCTTCAAACTATTTTTTTAAAATTAAATCAAGTCAAACCAATTTTTATGTACTTACTGTACATAAAAACCACAAGCTAAATCACATACCAAACAAGCAACAGAAAATGCAAGCAGTCTTCAAAAAAACAGTTCTATAATCCTTCTGACCTGATGAATGCCACATACATTCAAAACAAATGTGGCGACTTCCAAAGTGATTTGATTATGTTGGTTGGATAAAACATACAAAACATAAAATCTATCTGCCAGATTTTGGCATTTGTTAGAGAAGAAAACGTGTAATGAATATTTTTCTAGTACTTAACAAGAAAATGAAATATGAACTCTTGTTTCAATTACTTTGGAGCCACATCACCCTATCCTTCCTGGATATGGTAATTTCATATATTTTCTTGGGAAACTGCTGGATGGTTCATAGTGATCTGTTAAATTGCAACCTCTTACAGCCTAACCCTCTATATTTCTTCTAAGTGCAAAGAGTAAAAATAACTTCCATTATTTACTGTATCTCCCCAAAACCAGTGAATTTTGCTTCTAATTCCAAATGTCACACGGATTTGGATATAATAACATGCATTCCTGGTATTTTGACTGCCTGGTTCTTTCTTGTGTTTCCCTGCAGTCTTATTCGATGGCCGTCTACCTTGTCAAGCAGCTGTCCTCATCTGTGTTGCTACAGAGGCTACGAATAAAAGGCATAAGAAACCCTGACCATTCGAGAGCGCTAAGTACGTCTACTGAGTGCAAGCTCCAAGTACAGAATCATTTCAGGAGAAAGACGCTGCGATAATGGTCCCCCCTTATTGTTGCTTCATTGCTTTAAATTGTTTTAAGTGTCCTAATTGTAATATGTTTTTGAATTGTAAGCTGCCCAGAGTTATTGACTGAGAAATTGAATGAATGAATGAATGAATGAATGAATGAATGAATGTGTCATGCCCCTGTTGGAATCTGATTCCGAGGGGGGAGGTGGAACAGCTGACGGAGTGGGAGTGTGGCTCCGGTGGCTGTGGAGGAAACTGGGGAAGGGCACAGTCCAGCAGGGCATTCAGAGGAAGACCCAGGCCCACCCCCCTCTTCATCCTAGGGGCGCGCAGGGAGGAACGGAGAAGGGAGCAACATGGCTTATGGGGAAGAAAAGGGCCCTGATTCCCTTCTCTTTTCTCCCTCCAGCCTCACTTTCAGCATCCCGCAGAGCATTTTACTAACAGTTCTTCAAACTCATTTGGGGACCTCAAAACCTGTTTCTGACTAACTCAGGAAATGCATTGACTTCCTATCCTGGCTTTCCCCCACTTCATTGGGTTGTTACACCTTCTAATGATAGTTTCAATTTTGTTTTTTGTTTTTCTTCTTCACAGTCAAAGAGAAACTAACAGCAGATCCTGACAGTGAAATAGCAACCACCAGTTTAAGAGTTTCTCTTCTATGCCCAGTAAGTGTATTTTTTTCTAAAATTCTTCCCTCATTGCATTGAGTACAGGTAGTCCTTGACTTACGACCACAGTTGAGAGAATTAACAATTGAGTTGTCCTTTTTACAACCCTTTTTTCCAGAGTTATTAAGTGAATCACTGCAGTTGATCAGTTAGTGGCAGCTAACACGGTTCTTAAGTGAATCTGGCTTCCTCATTGACACTCTGAGCGTCATAACTATGAGTCAGTTGTCAAGCATCTGAATTTTTTAACAGACAGATAATCAGAGTTGGAAGGGACCTTGTAGGTCATCTAGTCCAACCCCCCTGCCCAAGCAGGAGACCCTACACCATTTCAGACACTCCAGTCTCTTCTTGAAAGCCTCCAGTGATGAAGCTCCCACAACTTCCAAAGGCGACTTCTGTTCCATGGGTTGATTGCTCTCACTGTCAGAAAATTCCTCCAATCTCTCCTGGATCAGTTTCCATCCATTGTTTCCTGTCTGGCCTTCAGGTGCCTTGGAAAATAGCTTGACCCCCTTCCTCTCTGGGGCAGCCCCTCAAATATTGGATCACTGCTATCCTGTCTCCCCTGGTCCTTCTCTTCCTTAGACTAGCTAGGCCCGGTTCCTGCAACCGTTCATTGTATGTTTTAGCCTCCAGTCCCCTCATCATCCTGGTTGCTCTTCTCTGCACTCTTTCTAGAGTCTCAACATCTTTTTTATAATGGGGTGAACAAAATTTTGATCACATTATCATGGGGAATGTTTCAAAAGTCATAACTGTGAAAAATGGTCGTAAGTCACATTTTTAGTGTTCTTTGTAAGGTTGAACGGTTCCTAAATGAACTGTTGTAAGTCAAGGACTACCTGTATCTACTGTACAATGTCACTTTGAATGTTAATCCACCTGATCTGGCAAGAATGGCCTCACTGGGAAGATGGGAGTCCTCCTCTGCGGGAGAAGTTGAACGAATTTATTCATGCATCCATTCAAGGCAGAGTTTGCCTTCACCTCCTGTACACCTTTTTGCCTTACCTAGAGGTTTTATTTAGCCAAAAAGGACTTCTTTTTGTTAAGCCAACTTTTGTTTGTATGTCAGACTTAATTATTCAATTCACCTTTTTTCTTTTCTTTTAAAAGCTTGGCAAAATGCGACTAGCAATACCTTGCAGGTCTCTGACTTGCTCCCACCTTCAGTGTTTTGATGCCACCTTGTACATTCAGATGAATGAAAAGAAGCCCACTTGGGTGTGTCCTGTCTGTGACAAAAAAGCACCCTATGAACACCTAATAATTGATGGGTGAGTACCTTTCAGAAGCCAGGAATAGTTGGGAATACTTGGGAAATGTCCAAGGCAGCATTTCTCAGTCTTGGCAGCTTGAAGATGGGTGGACTTCAACTCCCAGAATTCTAGCTGGTGGGGGAATTCTGGGAATTGAAGTCCAGCCATCTTAAAGCTTCCACGATTGAGAAACACTGGTCTAAGTCAAGGGTCTTCCAACTTGGCAAGTGTAAGACTTGTGGACTTCAACTCCCAGAATTCCTCAGCTAACATGACCGGAGGCGGAATTCTGAGAGTTGAAGCCCACAAGTCTTAAAGCTGTCGAATTTGAAGTCCCCTGGAATAGATAAAGAGAGGTAGAATAGATAGAAAGATAGATAGAATAGATAGATCGATAGAATAGATCGATAGAATAGATCAAGGGTCTTCCAACTTGGCAAGTTTAAAACTTGTGGACTTCAACTCCCATGATCCCTGAGCTAAAACTTGTGGACTTCAACTCCCATGATCCCTGAGCTAACCTGGCTGGAGGAGGAGGAATTCTGGAAGTTGAAGTCTACAAGTCTTAAAGCTGTCGAGTTTTAAGGCCCCTGGAATAAATAGAGAAAGAGAGGTAGAATAGATAGAAAGATAGAATAGATAGATAAAGGGAGGGAGAATAGATAGATAGATAGATAGATAGATAGATAGATAGATAGATAGATAGATAGATGATGGATAGATAGATAGATAGATAGATAGATAGATAGATAGATAGATAGATAGATAGATAGATAGATAGAATAGATCAAGGGTCTTCAAACTTGGCAAGTTTAAGACTTGTGGACTTCAACTCCCAGAATCCCTGAGCTAACGTGACCGGAGGAGGAATTCTGGGAGTTGAAGTCCACGAGTGTTAAAGCTGTCAAGTTTGAAGATCCCTGGTCTAAGGTATTAAGTTGTACTTTGATGCTGCCATTCCATATTAGGTCTCAGAGGTTGAACATATCTAATAGATATGCTTTCCTGTATATCCAGGGTGATTTTTAAGGAAGCTTCTATTTTATAGGTTGTTTATGGAAATTCTGAAATACTGCACAGATTGTGATGAGATTCAGTTTAAGGAAGATGGGTCATGGGCTCCTATGAGGTCAAAAAAAGAGGCCCAAGAAGTGACAACATCTTATAATGGTGTCGAAGGTGAGTTTCCCAATAATTTGACTGCCTCTTTAAAGATTTTTCCTATTTGCTTGTTGCTGTACGTGGTTCCCAATTGTTCATTATGTGACACGTGGCTTCAACTTACGTTGATTTCAACATTTGACTGTTCCTAGGCTGCTTAAGTTCTTCTGTGGATCATCAGGTATCTTCTCATCAGTCCAACAAAAATAAGAAGGTTGAAGTGATCGACTTAACCATTGACAGTTCATCCGATGAGGAGGAAGAGGAACCGCCTATCAAGAGGAGATGTCCATCCCTGTCTCCTGTGTCACCCATTAACAGCAAGAGGTGAGATGGCAACCCAAGTTAGAGGGAGACAGGGAGCTCTGAAGTTACAGCAGCCAGCTCCCCTTTCCCCACTGTCATAGGACCGAATTTTGGGCACCCTACATTTACAGCCATTTGCAGTGTCCCCAGCACATGACCCCAATTTACAACGTTATTGCCAAAACCTGGTGTTTAGCTCCATTTTTCAGCAAAACCAACCCATATCAAACAATGGGTTCACTTAATGACCAAGGCGGTTGCGTTATGAGCACTGTGGGTGTATGTAAGTTGCACAAAGAAGTCATAAAATTGTGTCCAGTTGTGTAATGTCCCCCTTTACAATCATCACGACTTGGAACCGTGGTCAGATGGGCAGGTTCCGTAAGATCGTAGGTCAATTATTTATTACCTGTTTGGCAATTTGTAGTAGGAAGTGCAGAAGGAGTTCTCACTTTCATTTTGGGATCCTTTATTTCTCCAAAGCATGTCCACTGAAGCCTGGTTTGGGGATGACAAAATAGGGTTTCTTTCACATTCTGTGAAAATGTGTTCTGACCCAAACCTTGTTCCAAGTCAACAAAAACCAAGCAGAGATAAAAGCAAAAGCTTTTAATGCTTCTCTGCGAATTCTGTTAATTCATGGTTAAAAAGCTATTAAAACTAATTGTCTCTAATAAGAACGAGCCTTGCCAAGGTTGTGCAAGGCTGCCAAGAACACTAGATAAAGTTGCCAAGAAATAGTTGAAACACAAAGAGTCTCCAAACACAAACTAAGAGAATCCAAACCTCCACAAGGCTTGAGTGCAAAAACTTCTTTGCTTCCTGCAAAGAACTCCGGTTTCTCAGCTGGCTTTTATCTCTTAAGGGAGGGGCCATTACCTTGCAGCCTTAGTCCCGAGTCGCCTGTGCTGCTGCAGCTGCTCTTTCCTTCGAGCAGCCCTGCGCGCGCGCACCCTGGGCACAGGCTCCTCGGGGGCCTCTTCCTCACTGCTGCCAGCCGCCACAATCTCCGAAGGCAGCACCCCACTCCCTCCTGGCCCCATCCCTGCATCCCACACAGGCCGCTCATCTCCTCACTCTCCGAGACCTCAGCCATCCGCACCTGTGGCCGGTGAACCCCAACAAAATGACCGATAAACAGAAGCTTTCGTGAATAGGTGGCAGCCTTTCCACGGCTGCATATTCTGAGGGGAAAAAAAATGTATGATTCAATCAGTTTTATCGCCTGACAAGACTAGAATTCTACAGGGAATTCCACTTACCCTTTCCCACGGAAGGAAGGTGGAGCGTCCCACGGCTGGTGGCCTCTGGAGGTTAACAGAGGAGAACCTGATGGGTGCAACCCCTCCGTTTCTGGGTGGTGCGGAAATGCTGAACAGGGTGCACAAGGCTGAATAAAAAGGCCGTGGAAGAGAAGTAGAGAATCCTAGCTTGCTGAATGACTAAGGAAGCCCTTGTCGTTTGGCAGGACGAGCGATGCAAACACCTTAGTTCTGAATCTCAGTGGCTGTTGGGGGAGGATCCCACAGCCGCCTTCCATGGCTCTTCCAAGTGTCCTTTTCCTTTTCTAGCCTTTTAAGTCTGCCCAACCAAGTCTCTCCTGTTTCAAGAACTCCCAGCCTTCCAGCTGTTGACACAAGCTACATCAACACATCACTCCTGCAGGACTACAGGCATCCCTTTCATATGACTCCCATGCCTTACGACCTCCAAGGTAGGTTTCTGACCCTGGAGAGAGGCTGGGGGGGGGGGGGGGGGTTGAGGCAGAATCTTCTGGGGGCATGACAAGGGGTCTTTCTTACCTTTGGGGGGCCCTTACTGTGGAATAGGCTGAATTCTGTCCTTCCCCCTCGCCCCCCAAAGCACTCAGTTTGTTTGGAGGTTTAATAAAAGCACTGGGCCTGCAGTCTGAGGCGAGAGGGGATCATTTTCAGAGCAGTCTAGTCCAAATAAGCACCTGCCCGAAAGGAAAGTATATACTTTTACAGTGACTTTGTTAGTTCTTGGAACAAAAAACGACCAAGACCGTGAGAGGGATCAACCCACGGACACAGAAGTGGCCTTCAGAAGTTGTGGGAGCGTCGTCACTGGAGGCTTCCAAGAACTGGCTGTCAGAAATGGTGTAGGGTCTCCCGCTTGGGGAGGGGCGGGGTGGACTAGATGACCTCTAGAAGGTCCCTCCCAACTTGTGTGGAGACAATCACATATATATTGACCTGGGCTTTTGCAGGCCAGAGTCCTTTTGTCATATACCCAGAGGAGAGTTGTGAGAAAAGAGAAATATTTTATTTTGTTTATTTATTACTACAATTATTATGCTACTGTGTGGGTAGTCCAAATATTTGGGGGCACATTGTGTGCACGGAGACGGACATTGCACTCCCTGGGCAGCCCTTCTCGTCCACAGCTTGCTGGACAAGGCAGATCCAACCTGCAAGTAGGTGGTCCCAGAGGTAGCCAGTCCCCAACTTTAAAGTTGACCTTTAAATTAGACCCAGAAGATAATTGCGCTATTGCAGCCAGTGTGGCTTTTGCAGTGGTGATGTTATTCAGGTGCTGCATCCATTACTAGCCAGAAGGCAGCATCGTGCATCAGCTCAAACGTTCAGATGGCGCTTGCTCTCTATCTACCTATCTATCTATCTATCTATCTATCTATCTATCTATCTATCTATCTA